TCCTGCTTTTTTCAGAACTGAGAAATCTAACACATTAAGTCAAGTTGTGCAGATTTTTAGTTATTGGAGTCTTGTGTTGAAGTCCGGATTATGACCAATATAAGCTTGAGCTTTCCAATTGTGTTTCACCCTCCATGGAACTGAATTGATGCCATATCAAGGTTCTGCTCAGGGGAAGCTAAGGATTTTGCATGTTAGATCAGACTTGATTTGCGCTGATAGATCTGTGTAAGGACGACTTTGACAGCATCTGCTCACATCACTCTGCCTTTCTCAAGGCACAGAAATCTTATCTTTGTAAGGAACATTTTAAAGTAGGACAAGGAACGATGTCAAGTTGGAGGTGTTTTTTGAAGGCTCTCTGTGGCCCAACTCAAATTCTTCAGTAAACTGCACCTTCTTGGCAGTTTCTAGATGTTTGGCCAGTGCATGTGAATGTCACAGGCATGGCTGCTCAAGGATTTGTGTCCTTAGATATAAAAGCATTTATGAAATTGGTGATTATGTGGTTGCTTGCATACTTCTCCTGTATGGTAATTGCCATTTAAAGGTCAGCACATTCCAGTATGTTCCGGATGCCACTGGTTTTCCTAATGGTAAGAAGATGAGTTATCTGATGTAATGATTCTTACCCTGACAAGCGTCTAAATATTTAATATTGAGTTGTTGTAGCATGCAATATGTCAGCGAAAGATCTGGATTCAGCTGTACTAGATGAATGTGAAAAGAAAGGAAGGCCATCCCTAACCAAGGGAACATAGCGATGAAAGTTGGATATAACTCCAAAAAACTTCTGCAGTGAGACTATTTTGTGATTCATAAGGGATGACAGATGCTGAAATTCAGGGATCTTACTGACAAGTTGAACTTCTAATCCATAGAAGATGGTGGCACTGGAAAAACAGAGGAATCAATGTTTAAGAGGGATTGAGAGTTACTTGTTAGAAGCCAGTTTAGGAGAAAAGAAAAGAGAGATTATGAAGAACATTTGAATATGAGAGATCCAGGGAATGATGAACCTGGGAGATATTAAGTCAGATATTTTAAGTACTCTAGTTACAGAGTATGGAAATTGTGATAATGGATATTTTCTGGGTTATAAAACCATCCTGTATTTCCTGAAAGCGAGCTGAGAACACTTCTTGCAATAAAAAAAAAAAAAACAAAAAAATCAAACAAGACAGAGAGCAGTCTTCTATTCAATAATTAGTTCAATGCTTAGATGATGCCCCTTAGAGTCAGTAATTTTACAACTCGACAGCAATCACAGAGTGGTGCCTTTGCGTGCATCAAGTACATGCTGAAGGGCAGAGAATAGCCTCAAAGTGGAAGGTGTCAAGAAACATCCAAAATCAATTAACCATTACAGTGTGGGGCAGACATTCCTTGTCTCTCTGTGAACAGTCCTCGAGACAGCGAGACTTTCAGGCTGCAGGGAACTGGTATGTTTCCAAGTTATCAATGGAAATCGCTTTGAACTGGGAGTAAACCTGCACACACATACAAATTAGAGGAAAACAAAACCTGTCGAATGAAATCTTGGCCTTATCAAAGTCAAAAGAAGTTCACTGCTGACTTCAGTGGAAGAAGAATTCTATCCATAAAGAGGAGGGGGAAAAAAAAGTTTTTGAACTCTAAAATCAGAGCTAAGCTGTCTGGTGTAGGGATTGGGTTTTTTTGTCACAGATATCTGCTTGTTTTCACATGTATTTGCAGGATCTGAAGGCCACAGAGTCTTTGTAATGGGATGTCTTGTAATGGAGAGCTTGCCAAAGCACACCTGGAACACTCATCCTTTTGTAACTTTCATTTCATGCTTTTACAGTCCAGCTCAGGCCTGTTCAAATGAGTTGGCAATTAGTAACATAAATATAACTTGTCAGACTTGATTTGTTCCTCCCACCCACACGTTCTGCATCTGTCTCTCTTCTGATGAACCACATGCAGAGAGAAGTGGTAAGGAAGGTTGCTCTGAGGGGCAAACACTGGGAAGGCTTTTACCATTTTCAAATGAGCTCTCATACATTATGGGAAGTTACCATTAGTTTTCATTAAACAACATGTTAACTGGTTGTACTGTAGGGTCTGATTCCACATACCTGCTGAGAGCATTTGTTAAAATACCAGGTTAAGCACCTCACAAAAGGCCACTGTAGATATCCAGGGCTTAGTTGCTGTGAAAGTAATTAGCTTAATTGTATTAAATTTTGAGGAAAAAGTAATGAAGGGTAGCTTTATGAGGTTAAAATAGGTGTGTTTGAGAAAGAGAAGGCGGCATAAATGCTCTCGCTCATGTGAGAGAGCATTTATGAGCTGCCTTGTTTGCGTCTGTGTATGAAGGCAGGGTAGGGTAATGCCTGGTAGAAAAGCATCTGTTGAGCGTGGAAATGGTAAACGTCTCGAGCAGTTGTTTATCTGAGATAACACTTGAAGATGGAGCTAAATATGCTCCTCAGGCCTTTCTTTGACCAAAAAAAGTTTCAAATAAGCCTCTTATTTTTAAGCAATCAATATTTCCATTATTTCCTAGTTTACTTCACAGACATCAAGTGTATATTTTCTTGACACCTCAACAATTTAGGAGAATTTCTTTCTCTTCAAAACAGTGAGAGAGTAGTTTACTACTTAGGTCATTTAACTCAGTCAAAACTTACAAAATGTGAGTTATGACTAATCAGAGAAAGGAGTTCAGTATTATGAAACCAGCATGAAGAAAAATAATTGTCCTTGAAGTTTTCATGCCTCCTTGAAACTTGAAAGGCAAAAAAACTTATTGGGCCAAGGCTCCAAAACTCCTGAATTTATTAGTGAAGGCAATCTTCCAGCAAATGTTTTATATTTTTCCTTCACTCACCTTTAGCAGCACTGTAATACCTGAACAGCTGTCCTGGATTTTAGGAAATGCTGATCTTTATATATTAATTAAGGCATTCAAATCAATTATGGTATTCCTTATGGCTAATCCTTCCTTTAATAGAATTGAAGAGAGGAAAGCTGCTGGGTGGCTTATTGGCTTGGTAAAGAAAAATGGTTTTGAAATTCTTGTTAAAATGCAGTGAGTGTGCAACTAGCCTGAGATTTAATTACATTTTTAAAGGAATAGCTATTGATTAAGACATTGGTTATGTGTTGTAGTCAGCCCTAACAAATAGCAATATTACAAGAGGTCATTAAACTAGTTGTTAAAATTCCAAGTGACTGAAAACTAGAACTGGATCCAGCACAGCAATGCTGGATAGAAGAGAAAGATTGCAAACTAAGTGAAAAATACATTAATTTCTAAAATTCTAATTACTAATGGTTTTGTGTCCTATCATAATTTATTGTTATCTGTGGAACAAAAGGAAGACAAAACTGTAACAACTTGTAAATAAGAAACATGAGTCGAGTTTTACCTCGGGTCTGGAAGGTGAGCAGTGGTTCAGGTAACTGTTCTCATGAGCTTCATGTGAAGCAGAATGTAATCTGTGATTCCAACCCTTCTAGTGGCTCAGGGAGCAATCACATCTACTACACAGACTAATAGAGAGATGGAGTAGATGTCCTGTAGGTTTTTTCTGCATATAAAGCCATTTTAATAATTTCCAGTCAATGCTTTGTATCTGCATAAATGTATTCTTAATGAAGATGCAAGGCATACTGCAACATGGGCAAGCTTATAGGCAGACCCTGTGGCACGGTTATTATTGGAAAGGGAGGGGTTTAGAATTAAAACCTTTTCTTGGTACCAGGTTTTGTAGTCAAGCATATTTCAAATGTTCTGTATGTGTGTAATGTGCGAAGGTGAATTTGTTGAAAGGCTGTGAGGGTCGTATGGATGTCAGCCCCCAAGGGTTAGGATGTATTAGAAACGGAGATACCTGCAACTTTTATTTGACCTTGTAGTTTTATGGAGCATGATCCAGTCCTAGTGACCTTGCCCTGCCATGACCTCTGGCTCTTTTAAGGGTGCTACTATTGTGTGTGGTGGTTTTCTCACATTGAGCACCCAGATTACAACATCTTCTGTATCTAACGGGTGACAGGAACAGGTTCCTGAAATATGAATGGAAAGGATAAGATATAAACCTCTCTTGAGTAAAAGGGTTTAGTGACCTGTAATCAGGATTTACCACTGATTTGTACTTAGCTAATGGCATTTAGTCTGCTTGAGACATGTCCTGTTCCTGCTTAACTACAGGATGTTATGATTATAGATGTAGTGACATGGTTGTTGCAGAATTGCTGCTAGTAAATTATGGTGGGATGGCAGCTGTAAATACAGCTTCTCTTGTGATTTAAGAGAGAGATGTGAAGGTATATATTGCCCAGATGCTTGATCAATGGTAAACAGGGCGAGTTGCAGCGTGTTACAGCTTATAAGTCCTTGCCAGATTTTGGTATTAAAAGTCATCTTTTCAAGTATTAACTTCTCCGATACCAAAATTACCAGCTGCTCTGGTCCTCTTCCTTTCTCTTCTGTCCTGAAATTTCAGCCCTGTTAAGTAAAAGGGACTTTCTCTTGTGTCTCTTTAACATCACATTCCGTTTACAATTGTAATAGATGCTGTAACTTGTTTCCCTCTCCCCCAGCCCACAAAAACTGACAGAGAGGAATTTCTTCCTAAGCCTTTGATAACAGTTCTTTTCTTTTTCTTCCAGATAACTTCAAACGAGAAGCGCTTAGAGAGCCTGAAGAATGATGGCAACGCTCTTATCCAAACTCTAGCAAGCCTGGCCCAAACTGCCAGGTGAGTTCCCTCAGGCTTCCAGGAATTTCCAGGGCTGGGAGTGCTCGCCTCCTCTTTTGTCTGCACAGGTCTTCTCCTGTAATCACCTTCTGTGCAGTACAAGCTTCTCGTGTTTCTGTCCCTTGCTCTCCCCGCCAAACCTCTCTCCTCTAAACTGCTCATGTTCAGAACTTGCTGGTGTTTCCGCCAAGTTGAGTTTTGGGTTTTTTTAAAATGTATTCTTTTACTCCAAATGCTTGATCTCTATAACCGGATACTGGTCAGTATTTCTTGGCAAAGTGAGCTAGACACGTAACACAGTGTTTGTGCCTGCTTGGTTTTGTTCTTGGTCGAACTCCAATTTACAGAAAAATTGTAGTTTACAAATTGCTTTTTGAAGCACCAAGATAATCTTCTCAGTGCTCTTTGTGCTTCCAAGAGCAGGCTTTTTATAGGTTGTGTGTTTGGGAGAATTGGCTCCATTATGGCAGCATGTAGCCTGTGATGGAAGGAAAAGGGGATACAGGCAGAGGTGGAGAGGAAATGTTAGGACATGGTGAGTGTGAGATGCGCACCAAGGACTAAGCAAATCTGTCGAGAACAGTCTGCATCTCTCTTGCATGCTGCTGAGTCATGGGTTTTTGTATACCACATGAAATTATCTGACTGAAATAACATGTCAGCTGTCTCTAAGGGAGACCCTGGCACTGCCACTGAGGAGGACAGTGGAAAGAGACAGGACTGTTCTTTTAGAACTAGTTTTCACTCTGTTTTGTAACATGTCAGCATTAGACACACTTGAGAGCTCAGTTGCTGTTTTTGAGCCTGTTTTTTAGTTTTCTCTAATTGTCTGTTATGTATTCATTTCTGTACACAGAAAGCTGTGAACTACAGACCCCCAAATAAACAGCAGTTGCTCTTATTTGATGCAAGCTGCTCAGTAGACCATGTTCTAGCTGATGCCAGTGGCGAGTGTTTTGATACATGAGAGTAAGCCAAGTCCCTCCACCGTGCCGAGCTCCTGCACTGCAGCAGTAATGGGGACCTCTGAGAGCTTGTGGGTTTCTTTTCCCCTCCTCCCCTTCTTTAGGGAAGCTGGGTCCCTCTCTAGCCCCAGATTGCCCAACTCTGGCTCTGCAGCACATCTTTGGCTTGTCAGGCTTGACTCATAACCAACCCACTTCTGCTTAGGAGCCACAAGGGCTCAAACCTACACTTCAAAATGTGGGATCATAGCCATTTGTTTGCCAGTGAAGATGGTCACCAAGATGAATTTGTTTCTGATAACTCAATTTTTGCAGTTTAAATTGCTGCTCATAAACGCACTAGCTTATGCCACGTGGACTCATCAGTTGGGTTTCCTGGCTAGCTCTGCTTCCCACAGCAATGAGTGTCACTCAGGGTTTGTCATTTGCAGCATCCGAGGAAGCTGCAGATTCATCTACCGATGTCTTGTCTAAGCTAAAGGTAAAGGATAGTAGTCTATTAAAAAAACCCCAAACAATAAAACTTGGGTTTGTGGACTAGCAGTAATGTGTTAGAGCTTCTATTCCAATGTTAGAAACTAGTTGTATTTCCAGAAGGAAAAATTGGGAAAAATGTGTATATCAGAAACTTAAGTGAGGAGGCAAAGAGCCTCCCCATTCAATCTCAAAGGCGCAGAGGTAAGAGGGCTCTGGGCATGAGAACAGGTTTCTGTCAGACTGGAATTCTGTGTGTGTAGAGTCTTGGGGGACCTGCTAACTTCAGTCTTTTTTACAGAGAATGTCCTTAAGAATTTTCAAGTGCAGCTGAAGGCAAATGTGGAATTTGAAGGAAAAGGTTTCCCCTGAGAATGACTAATAGATGTTTGTTTTTAATTTCTAGCTCTCATGCTGATGTTGCTGTCACTTCCTTGGCTTACGAAATTCTGAGGACAGTGGGCCAGGAAAATATCAAGACTACCAAGTGAACCATTTTGGACTGGCCTCCTGAAGTGCAGGAGTGGTGTGTGTGTTGCTCAGCACCTCAGTCCTGTGGGAACCTCCTCAGATGAGCAGAGCAGCCGTAACCAACTCAGCAGACTGAGCCCGAGCCATGTCTGGGTACAGGCATGAATTTGGCAGGCGGCAGGAAGGGTGGTAAACCGAGTTTGGGGTGCCGGTGCATTTGCTTTTTAAACCCCTGTAAGGTGAACTCTTGGTTATTTCTTTACCTTGCTGGCATGGTGGGATGTAGCTCAGGTATCTGACACCCAGAGTTTGAGAAGTATAAATTAAATAAATAGCAGAGTTATTTCCCCATCTTTAAGCTGCAGTTAGAAATGTTTATTTCTCTGATGCTCTAGGCAGAGTCCTCTGGCACCGGCAAGTGCCGCAGGCAGGGTTACAAGAGGTAAATGGGTCTTGGCTTCTCCCTCTAAAGTCCTTCAGGTGTTGCAGCAGCATGCAGCTGCCTCAAAGGGATTGGAGACTGAAGAAGGATTTTATTCTGTGCAGTAACGTTTGAAGTAAATTTGGGTGAATGCAGTAAACCTTGATTCTAGCTTGAAGCAATAAATTTTCTCTTTTTACTTGAAATTATTACACTTAAAAATTGGGGGAATTTCTTTTAAACATTTTCAGGCTGCCATGTACAGACCCAAATTTGTCTGGGTTTTTTGTAACACTAAATAAAACCTATTTTCTAAGAGGCCTGAAGTATGGTGGTGGCTCTATTTCTCACAATGGTAGGACAGTTGCTCTTTAGGCGACTGGGCATTGCTCACAAGCGAGCTGAAGGCGACTGCCATTTGCTGGGTGCGTGCCCCCAGTGCTGCACCCTGCCAACAACTCACATGCCTCCAGGACTGTGCTGGCAGCTGCGGGCGTGGGAATTGCAGTGCTGCTCCCTGCCAGGGTGAACTAGTGGCAGCGGTTCCAGCTGCCAATGTCTGTCTGGAATCTAGTAAAATCTGTTACAGAATCTACTAAAGTCTATTGGATTCTAATAGGATTTAGTAAAAGCTATTGGAATCTATTAAAATCTACGAGAATCTTATAGAATCTAGTAGAACCTATCTGATTGTATCTGAACTTACCTGTTTTGATCCAAGTGCATCTGAATGTATCCGTGTGGATCCAAAGGTATCCGAGAGTATCCAACTGTATCTAAGTGTATCCAGTTGTATCCAAACGTATCCGTGTGTATCTGAATGTATCTGTGTGTATCTGAACATATTTGTTTTTCTGTGTGTATCTGAACATGTGTCCAAACATATCTGAACATATTTGATTGTATCTGAATGTGTGGGAACATATCCAAGTGTATCCGAACATATCCGAGTGTATCTGTGTGTATCCACATGCATCCATGGGGAGAGGGAGGCAAGGTGAGGAAGAGAAAGAAAGAAAGAAAAGACAGAGACAGATAAATAGAAAGTGAGAGGGGGAGGGAGGGAGAAAGAGAGGGGAGAGGAGAGAAGACATGAGAGAGGAAAGAGAGAAAATATAAAGATTAAGGGGAAAGAAAAAGAGAGAGGAGGAAGGGGAAAGGGAATAAGAGAAAATAGAATAGTTAAGAAAGTTGAAGAGAAAATAACAATAGCAAAGACAATAAGAGGAGACAATAGAAGAGAATAGAAAAGAAGAGACTACAAAAATAAAGAAGAGAAAAGAAAAAAACAAGTATGTAAGAATAGGAAAAAGAAAATGAAAGAAAAAAGAAAATATTAGGTAATACAAAAGAACATAAACAAAGAGAAAAGAGATTAGAAGAGATCAGAGGAAGAACAGAAAAGAACAGAATATAAAAGAGTTGAAAAAAAAGAAAAAAAGGAAATGAAATAGTGAGACAATGAAATAAGAATAGAATAGAAAAGAATAGGAAAGAAAGAAGAATATAAAAGAATAGAATAAAATATAAAAGATTAGTAGCGAAAAAGTGGAAAGGGCGTGAAATAACAAAGAACGTGAAGTAATAAAATAGAAAAGAACAGAACAGAAAGCAAAAGAGAAAAAAGAGAATACAAAATTGAGAAAATAGAAGAAGAATAGAAAAGTATAAAAGAATAAAAAAAGAACAGAAGACAAAAATAATATTAAGTAATAGAAAAGAGTAGAAGAGAGTATAAGAATAGAAAAAAGAATATGAAATAATGGTAAAAATAAAAGAACAGAATAGAAAATAATACCAAAGAATAGAAAAGTAATATTAAAGGAAAGAAAGAAAAAAGGAAAGAGAAATTATATAAAAGAATAAAAATAAAAATATAAAATAAGAACAGAAAAAATAAACGAGAAACAAAATAAAATAATAGAAAAGAGTAGAACAAAGAGAAGGGGAGAAGAGGAAGCAGATTAGAAAATATTTAATAGAGCATAGAGTAGCTAAACAAAATATAACAGAAAAGAAAAAAAACCAGAAAACGAGAGAATAGAAGGGAATAGAAAAGAGTAAAATGGCATACAATGAGAAAAGAGGCAAAAATAAGAGAAAACAAAAAGAAAATACAAGAATTAAAAGAGACAAGAGAACAACAGAGAAGAGAAAAGAATAGGAAATAATGGAAAAGAACAATAGAAAAATCAATAGAACAGAGAAAAGGAGTTGAGAATAGAAGAGTGAATAGAAGATGGAATAGAACAGGGAATAGAGAATAGAATTAAAATGGGAAAAAAGAACAGAGAATAAAAAACAGAATAGAAAACAAAAAAGGTTATGAAACAATAGAAAAGAGGAGAAGAGGAAGAGAGGATAGAGAAAGGAGAGAGATGAGAGAGCAGAAATAAGAGATTAGAAAATCATAGAGAAGACAATGGCTAAACACAATAGATCAGAAAAGATGAGATGAGGAGACAACAGAGAATAAGACTCGAATAGAAAAGAGAGTAAAATGGAATAGCAAAAAGAGACTAGAAAATAAGAGAAAAAATACAAAATAGGAAAAAAAAGAATAACAAAGAATACAAAAGAATAGAGACTGGAAAAGAGAATAAAAAAGAGAACAGAAAAGAAAAAGAATATGAAATAATAAAATATAAAAGAAAAATATA